TTTGAGATGGAGTCTCACTCTGGCACCCAGGCTGGAGTGCAATGGCATGATCTTAGCTCACTGCAGCCTCCACCTCCCGGGTTCAAGCGATTCTCCTGCCTCAGCCTCCCGAGTAGCCAGGATTACAGGCACGTGCCACCATGCCAAGCTAATTTTTGTACTTTTAGTAGAGACAGGGTTTCACCATCTTGGCCAGGCTGGTCTCGAACTCCTGACCTCATGATCCACCCACCTCTGCCTCCCAAAGTGCTGGGATTACAGGCATGAGCTGTGGCGCCCAGCTTATAAAGGGAATTTTTTAAATAAAAAGAAATAGATTCAGGCTGAGCATTGTGGCTCATGCCTGCAATCCTAGCACCTTGGGAGGCCAAGGTGGGTGGATTGTCTGAGCTTAGGAGTTTGAGACCACTCTCGGCAACATGCTGAAATCCCATCTCTACTATAATGCAAAAAAAAAAAAAAAAAAAAAAAAAAAATTAGCTGGGCATGGTGGTGAATGCCTGTAGTCCCAGCTACTTGGGAGGCTGAGACATGATAATTGCTTGAGCCTAGGAGGCGGAGGTTGCGGTGCGCTGACATTGAGCCACTGCTAGCCTGGGTGACAGAGAGAAACTCTGTCTCTAAAAAGAAAAAAAAGAAATAGATTCACTCAGAGGAGGGGGACCCACTGTTAGTAAAATATGTCTAGCACCAGATGCTTTTTGACCTCCTAATGATCTATCAAACTGCAGGTCTTTTGGCTTTATAATATATTCAATTCCACACTTATTCATTTAAGAATTGAAGACTTTTTATATCCCCATTATGTGCCGAGTACTGGATGAGACACTAAGTAGCTGAGATGAACAAACCCCTGTTCCCATGATTTCACAGTGGATGTTGGAATTTAGTGCCATTTAGCTTCATTCAATTCTACGGTAGTCCCAAGATTTTCCAAGATGATCCTGTCCTCCAGTGTCCTGTTGATTCAACTTCAGAATATATCCCAGACTCTGTCCCTCTTCATGCCTCACTGCTGCCTCCCTGGATTCCTCTGCCATCATCTCTCACCTCGATTATCTCCGTAGTCTCCTAACTGGTTTTCTTTTTTCCATGCTTACCTCCTTCAGTCTACTCTCTTTCTCTCTTTTTTTTTTTTTTTTTTTTTAAGATTGAGTCTTGCTCTGTCGCCAACGCTGGAGCTCAATGCTGCAATCTAGGCTCACTGCAACTTCCATCTCCCAGGTTCAAGAGATTCTCCTGCCTCAGCCTCCCTAGTAGCTGGAATTACAGGCATGAGCCACCATGCCCTGCTAATTTTTGGTGTTTTTTTAATTAGAGGCAGGGTTTCACCATAGTGGCCAGGCTGGTCTTGAACTCCTGTCCTTAAGTGATCTGCCTGCCTTGGCCTCCCGAAGTATTGGGATTACAGGAGTGAGCCACTGCGCCCAGCCAGTCTACTCTCAATACAACAGCTAGAACAATTCTTTTACAGTGGAATGAAGATCATGTTTACCCCTCTGTTCAAACTCTTCAGTGGCTTTGTTTTCTACATGATCTGACCCCTGCCACCTGTCTCACTGTGCTTCCTGCTGCTCTCCTGCTCTTACTCCTCTTTATAAACACTGAGCCCATGGTGTTTCCTTTAGCATGCCAGGCAGGCTTGACCCTGTCCTGTCTCTGAGCCTTGCTGTTCCCTCTGCCTGGGACATTCTTCCCTAGTGTCTGTATGGCTCACTCTCTGCTTTGGATTGTGGTTCAAAAGTCATCTTATCAAGGGCCTCCAGGCTGCTCTGCGACATTGATCACTACTTGTGGAGGTCTGTCCTGCAGATCTTGACTCAGCAATGGATGAATGAAATACGTTGTTACATACAGAATACAGTGTAAGAGTTGGGCTGGAGGTCCTCAGCTGCTTTTAGAGGGTGATTACAGCTAATTGACTACAACTCCTTCTTCCTTCTCGCATGTATTCAGTATAGAGGTAATAACAGAAGTCAACATACTTGTGGATAATTAACATGGTTAAAAGAGTGATTTTACAAATGACAAAAATTTGTGGTTCTGTGGCCCAGAGTAAACACCATTAGCAAGTAACGCTTTTTCAACCTCCCCCGAGAGGAACATCTAGCACAAAGTTTACTTGAGTAAGCAGAGTAGAGACAAAGGAATGTGGGGTAAACAGACTTAGCTTGGGAGGCTTTTATTATCTTAATCTACACCTTATGACTTAAAGTTCTAAGGTAAGAACTGGCTGTCTTCAGCCTGGCTCATTAAAACTTTTCAGCTTTCCAAAAGATTTGAGACTGTAATCTATAACTTCCCTAATATTTCCCTTAATATTTTGCCAGCCACCCTGAGTGAATCCCAACATTGCCCTGTATAAAATATATCCTTAATTCATATTTCCTATTTGATGTCTGACTCCCTCTTGTCCTTCACTAAAATGTAAACTCTGTAAGCGAAGGGATTTTGTCTGTTTTGTTCTGTTGTATCCCTAAATACCTAGAAGGTGCTCAGTAAATATTTGTTGATTGAATGAATAAATCAGCCTATTATTGAATCAGTCAGTGTCCTCTGTAGAACGGACTTCTCATACCGGTGGTGCATATCTGTATGATAGCTGGTGTAGGGAGGGACATGGTCAGAATGGCTCTGTCTGTGTGGAACAGTTTTGCTTAGCATAATCCCAGCAGTTTCCTATTGGGGTTAAATCACAGTTTTAGCCTTATTAGTATCACTCTTTAATCGTAAAGCCAGAGGATATTAAGATTGGAATTGATCTGGGAGACAATTCAGTCTGCTTTTCTCATGATTGATGTGAGAATAACCAAGGCTAAAGAAAGTAAGTTGATTATTCACAATTGTAAAGCTGTAGGGGTCAACCTGAAATTAGGCTTCTGACATCAGCTTCTGTAGTCTTTCCTACATGTGTTCTCCCCTGGCTGGGACAGTTCATGAGCTTTCAGGTTTGACAATTTTCTCTACAGTCTCTAAACAGGAGCTTTTATTTGGACATTCTAGGTAGCATAGATGGACGATGACCCTGCAATGTGTGGAAAATCCCAAAGGTTGACCAGTGTGAATAGGAACTACCCCAGATGTGTCAGGAGCATCACAGGCACACTCACTGCTCCATTCACTGGAGCTGTTTAGGGGGGAAAGGAAACCCAAATCAAGACCCTTTGCTGCTTCCGTCCTTTTATTGCATGTCATAGTCCAATGTGTTTCCATTTAAAGTCAGATTTTTTGATGAATGGTCAGACCAGCAGCAGGCCCTTTGGGTCAGAAGTCTTAATCTCACCCACTGTTCATCTTCTTGATGGACTTCCTTACTTCAGGCATTTGTGTGTAGCTGGTCTATTGTGGGATTGTCAGAGGGGTGTAGAGCCCTCTTTTTGAGACAGTGGATTCTCCCCATGCAGCATGTCCTGAAGCTGGCCTGTCTCCATCCTCTTTCTACCTGTGTGAGGTCTTTTGTTAAGAAGGGTAAAGTGAGAGAGGGCTCCTAAAGAGAGAAAAACTCCTCCAGCATTTGCTGAAACATGTTTGTGAACTGAGCAAGATGTAATTGGATGGCATGAAAAAGACTAAAGTTTCTTTAATTTCTTGCCATCTGGTTTGTGATATATGGTGCCTTAAATTGAGTTTAGAAGGCACTTTGATCATAGGTCAAGAGGTGTCATATACATATATTTTTTGAGATGGGAGTTTTGCTCTGTTGCCCAGGCTGGAGTGTAGTGGTGTGATGTCAGCTCACTGCAACGTTTGCCTCCCGCGTTCAAGTGAATCTCCTGCCACAGCCTCCCAAGTCGCTGGGATCATGGACACCCGCCACCATGCCTGGCTAATTTTTGTATTTTTAGTACACACGGGGTTTTACCATGTTGGCCAGGCTGGTCTCGAGCTCCTGACCTCAAACGATCTGCCCACCTCAGCCTCCCAAAGTGGTGGGATTACAGGCGTGAGCCACTGTGCCCAGCTGAAGCTGTCATATTTAATTCTACTCCCTGTGGCCTCTCTTACAATACCAATCATGCATGGAGCCCATGGTTTTATTGCATCTAGTTTTACTGAAACAAAGGCTCTAGACTTTCATAGTTTATACTGATATATTCTAGTATGCACCTGAAATATACTCTGAGGATGCTGACTTGCAGGTAACCATTTTTGGGTTAAGGGAATTTCAAATCTTTTGAGTATAGTAGCCATACCACTTAGAGAGCTTCATTTTGGTTTGGTTACAAAATTTATTTTAGCTTAGTTTTCTTAGATTAAGTGGGCAAAATAAGAAAGAGCAGAAGCTTTTGGGAGGCTGAGGTGGGTGGATCAAAAGGTCAGGAGTTTGAGACCAGTGTAACCAACATGATGAAATCCGGCCTCTACTAAAAATACAAAAATTAGCTGAGCGTAATGTTGTGTACTTGTAATCCCTGCTTTTTGGGAGGCTAAGGCAGG